TGTGGGAAACCCAGATTGATTTGCTGGCTCTTGGGTGTGCCCTGTCCTAGCCCTGGCTCTTGCAGCCATTTGGGAAGTGAACCAGTAGATGGAAGAGCTCTCTCCATCCCTGTATCTGTCTCTCTGTCTCTCTCTCTCTCTTAGCCTTTCAAATAGAAAGAGAGAGAGAGGGGAAGGAAGGAAGGAAGGAAGGAAGGAAGGAAGGAAGGAAGGAAGGAAGGAAGGAAGGAAAACATCCTGACAGCGATTTCTCCTCCATGCCCTTCTATCCTCTCACACACAGACCAGGACCCCCCCACTGCTGACCGGACCCCCTCCAGCCCCGTTCCTCCACTCCATGATCTCCCCCAGGCCAGCTGACTGCTGAGCCCCCTCTGCCCCAGAGCAGGGAGCCATTGTGCAACTCAGCTCTGCCAAGTTTCTTTCCCTAATCCTTTTTACCATGTCATAAAATGTTCAAATAGGAATTAAATGGAGTAGAATGTAGCCAAAAAATGGTTTGTGAATGGAACTCTCTCCTTCCCTTAGGCTTGTGTTCTTTATCCTGAGCTCTAAGTCAGGGATCAAGCAGGGCTGTGTAATTACTTCTGTTAATGAAACCTTACAAGGCCTTCCTTGGAACAACACGGCGGCCTTCCAGCACAGCAGTGGGCCTGCATGCCCTGTCGATGGTTGCCTGAACCCGAGAAGCCGGTCTCGGACGGCAGGGGTCTGATGGGCCTATGCCCAGCATTCCCTGATGGACTTCATGGTTATTTTGCTTATGACAGTGAGACGTAGCTCCAGGTCACCAGCTGTGTCGTTACCATTTCACTGTTTTTGTGCAACGTACCTTGTCTATATCAGCTAATTTCCATACTACAATGTCTACACTGTAAAGCAGAATATTTATAAAAAATTATCTATTTATTTATTTAAAAAGCAGAGTTACAGAGAGAGAGATCTAACATCTGCTGGTTTAGTCTCCAAATAGCAGCAATAGCAAGGACTGGGCCAGACCAAAGGCAGGAGCCAGGAGCTTCATCCAGGTCTCTCATGTGGATGCAGGAGCCCAATTACTTGGTATATTTTCCATGCTTTGCCAGACACATTAGCAGGGGGCTGGATCAGGACTCAAACCCGTCCCCATATGGGATGCAGGCACAGCAGGCAGCAGCCCAACCTGCTACACCACAGTGCTGACCCCGGAACAGAGTTATTTCTACAGAACTCTGTAGCTCTGTCCCTACCGACACTGTTTACAACCTGAAAAGCAAAAGAACAGAAGCTAAGGATTAAGGAAGTATTAAGAGAAAGGGCAGCCTAAGCCACCTTCACTTTATATATATATATATATATATATATTTATTTAAGAGGCCAAGAGACAGGGAGAGACAGAGGGAGAGAGCTCTCACCTGCTGTTCACTCTCCATATGCCCACAACAGCCAGACCTGGGCCAGACTGAAATCAGAAGCCTAAAATGCATTCTGAGTCTCCCACATGGACGGCAGGTACCCAGTTACTCCCATGTGGATTGCAAGGACCCAGCTGCGTGAGCCATTTACCTGTCACCTCCAAGGGTATGTACTAGTGGGAGGCTGGAATAAGGAGCAGAACTGGGACTTGGAGCCGAGGTACTCCAGGATGGGATATGTGCATTCCAACTAGTGTCTTAATGGCCAGACCAACCCCATGCCCCACCTTCATTATTTTTGAAGTAAGTTTAATTTCTGGCTAAAATAGGTGAAGATCTTTGAGTGTGCCTCCTTATTATCCTATAACAACCAGGTTTGTGTTGTTGTTGTTGTTGAGTCTTCCGATTGGATGTCCTCAAGGAATTCCAGTCAAAACTGTTGAACTCTAACCACAGTCATTTCTAAACCTTATCACTGATGGGAATTATTGAGGAAAATCGAAGTGGCCAAGGAAGAGGGGAAAGAGGTGGAGACAAAAAGTGTGAAGTGGGTACAAACAATTGCTCTTGCTAACACAGTCTTTTCCCATTGGTATTATGCCTGGTCATCACTCTGTAAGGCTGGGGAGTGTGGGACAGATGTGGGTGCTGGGAAGAGCCATGCTGAGTGTGACTGCCTCGTGAAAGCAATGAGAGAGGAAGACAGGGAGCTTTCTGGGGAAGTGTTCTGGAAGATATGCTGGCAGTCCCCAGTCTTGGAAGTTGATAGTAGCGCATTTCAGTTAGTGTTCCAGTGCTACCAAAGTGGGCAGCGATGGGAGGTGGTCTGGGCTTGTGGTGCTGATGGGATGAACTAGAAGACAGGGTGGTGAGAAGAGCAGCACAGGCAGCGTGAGCTTTAATGGCTGTGAGCGGTTTCCTGAGAACAGTAAGTGTAGGAACCACAGAACAGTTCAGTCATTTACCTGTATTTATTTCAATGCACCATTTGGGAATGGGAAATAAATCCCTCATTCTTAGCTCCTGAGAGACACATTATTCTAAAGCAAGGAAGGATCATAGGACTCTTATCCATCCAACTGCTGCCCCAAGAGAAGGGACACCAGCTATGTCTCCTGCCACCTACTGGGCCATCTTCCCATCCATCCCTTGGGCCATTGCTTCTGTCCTTAGGCCCAAATCTGATGGATGCCCATCTCAGTCTTGCCTTTCACTCTGCCCTTGAACCCCTGCACCATCACCTTCAGGGAGGCATTTGGGGAGGCCCAGATATAATCACTGGAGACATCACTGTAGAAATGGAAAAGAGGGTGATGAAGGTCATGTGCAGCACCCTCAAGAGAAAGGCACAGCAAGTTTATTTCGTCATATTTCTGTGTGACACGAAGAGTCTTCAGAATGAAGACCCAGATTCCCAGGGTGAAGTCTACATTTTTATGCTCAGGTTCCATGAAGCATGGACAGCCAGGGAGAAAGGTGACTGGGTACAAAGAATCTGAGCTGATGGTAATAGACTGAATGAGGAGACCCAGGAGGGCCTGTCAACTCAGTTTGTTCTCAGCCCTTCTAGGCGGCATTCCTCCTTCTGGATCCAGTCCAGGATCTAGAATGGGGATCTTACGACCTACAGTCGAGCAAGGCAGTGAGAGAATTTCTTTATGGCCAGCTGTTATACAGAAAGGCTGGGGAATTTAATAGTGATCTGTTTAGGTTTTATGGCCAGCAGTGGAGAAAGGAGGTTCTGTTTTGTATGAGCCACCTTGGGGATGAGGAATTCTGGCTTGTATGGCCTGTGTCTGGGGTAAATTGAGAGGTGAGAGGAGGCAAGAGGTTAGAGAGAACCCTTGCTTCTGAGCCTTCACTTTGGGGGCTCCTTTTCTGAGCCCTCACATAATGTTTTGCTCAGGGGAAGCATGGTCTATCCTGGAAGCAGGTGTCTCCCAAGTGTCCTGGGTGTGATTGCTGGGTTGTCCCCACCCCAGTTTTGCTGCCTGCTCTGGCTCGCAGGTCCCTTGGTGGAGGAGTGGGATGACACCTTCCTCCCCAGGAGGGTCCCAGGGTCACCTTCCCTGGAGATGGTGTCTGGAGGCGTGGAGAAGCACACAGCAGGAGTCCCGCAAGGAGCTGGGCTCCCTCTGGCATTTCATTCAGAGACTGTTCAAAGGAAGAATCTCATTTCATCCTCATGGGGGGAGGTGGTTTTTTCCAAGTCAGTTGAGGTATCAGAATAGAAGTGCACAATTAAAGGAAATCATTATGTAGGAATTGCCGTGGGGGTTCTCACATCTTGCAGAGGAAAATATTTTTATTAGAACAGATCCCTTTGCAGATCCCCAGAATTGTCTCTAACTAAACCTGGTGAGAGGTTCTATTCAGAGAGGAAGAGTTCCAGAAGCCGGTAAAGAGAAACACCAGCCTTTCCCCTCCTCTCCTCATTTTCGCACCTGAGAGCTGATGATTTTATAGCAATATCATTTGATTTCATGAACTGGTTATTTGACACGTTCTGGACGCATTAGTCTCTGAATATTCCTAATGCTGAAGAAAGATGCTGTCATCATTAACCAGTGGCTTTTGTCAGTGTTCCCTGCTGGCAGCCCCTGGCAGTGACTGAGAGGAGCTCTTCCAGGGTAAATGTTGCATTGTGTTGTGTATGAAGTAGACAGATTCCTTATACCTAGAGCCATATTGGGAGTACTGGGGAGTAGAAAATTACACTTTTTTTTTAGTTTGCTAGTCAAGTGATTAAAAAGAATCATGTCTAACTCAGTGCACAAATAACATAGTAGGGTGTGACTGACATTTGAAGATTATGTTCCTACTACTATAGGGGATTTGGGAATATACTTATCACCAAGAAACTTTGGATATACACTCATTAAGTGTGAAAAGTATAATCAAGTGATATATTGATGTGGTTCCTCTAGAGGTATTTCTAGTGTTAAAAGACAAACGTCTTTATTCCGATGATTTCTTGGTTTTATGGAGAAAGTGTTTAGCAAAAGGAAGACAACAGGTGGAGTTTTCCAGAAAATTGCTCCCCCTGCTAATTGAGTTTCTGGCCGATTTTTTTTTTTCCCTCCAGTTTTTCAAGAGTTAAGGAAGTGATGGTTCAAGTTTCACTGAGAGATCAGTAGCAGGGAGTCAGTTTTTGCTTCATGGCAAGAGATGCATTTTCATTGACTCAATGTGTGCAGCCTAAAGCAGAGGCAAGGGAATTCGCAGCAGCCCGGTCGCACTCAATGTTGGCTGTCAGACCCTCGTTCCTACACCCGACCGGTATTCCCTGGGATTTGCCCTAAGGCAGGCTACCCTCGCCAGTGGGGCGGCTGCTGGCGGAGTCCGCGCGTGGGAGACCTGAGCCCTGAGCTTCTTGCAAAGCCCGGCCTCAGGCAGCCGCGCGTCGCGCAGGCCCGGGGGCGCTGTTCGTGCGGCCCTGGCTCCGGCCCTCGCGCGGTTAACCGAGAGCTGCCTCCCTGCAGAGCCGGCAGCCAGGACCCTCGGGCGGGTGGAGGCGGGGACGGGGGCGCCGCGGGGTTCCTCTGTTGCTAGAGCCGTGATGTCACCCGCCCCTCCTAACCCGCGGTTGGTTGTTTTGTGTTTCAGCTCTGCCTGCAGTGGAGCACAAAGACCTGGAGGAGACTCCCACCGCCTTCGGGGAGAAGAAAGGAGGCAGCGAAGCAGATTAAAGGAACTTGTGGCTTGTGGCCTTTAGGGGGCAGGGGCCGCCTGGAAGGGGAGCGAAGTGCTGGCGAGCGCCCGTGGCGGTGAACGAGCTGTGAGATGCGCCGCCGCTGCCGCTGCTGCTGCTGCTGCGGCCGCCGCTGAAGCTCGAGTCCGGGACGCGCCAGCCGCCCTTTGTGCTTCGGGTACATGTGTCTGTTCAGGCCGGCCGGGGGCGCCCAGCAGCGAGTCCACCACGGCGGCCGGGGAGCGAGCGCCCGCCATGCCCACGGAGACGCTGCCCACAGGTAGCATGGTGAAGCCGGTCAGCCCCGCGGGCACCTTCACCTCGGCCGTGCCCCTGCGCATCCTCAACAAAGGGCCTGACTACTTCCGCAGGCAGGCCGAGCCCAACCCCAAGCGGCTGAGCGCCGTGGAGCGGCTGGAGGCCGACAAGGCCAAGTACGTCAAGAGCCAGGAGGTGATCAACGCCAAGCAGGAGCCGGTGAAGCCTGCCGTGCTGGCGAAGCCGCCCGTGTGCCCGGGCGCCAAGCGCGGGCTCGGCAGCCCCACGCTCAAGGTGTTCGGCAACCATGCCAAGACCGAGAGCGGCGTGCAGCGTGAGAACCTCAAGCTTGAGATCCTGAAAAACATCATCAACAGCTCTGAGGGCTCCAGCTCGGGCTCGGGCCACAAGCACAGCTCCCGGAACTGGCCGCCACACCGGCCCGACGCCAGCGACCTGCACCGCCACTCCTTCGCCGAGTCCCTGAAGGTCTACCCCACGCCGGGGCGCGGCAGCCCCCAAGAGAGCAGCTCGCACGTGAGCAGGAGGCTGCTGGAGCAGTCGGCCGAGTCCTTCCTGCACGTGTCCCACAGCTCCTCGGACATCCGCAAAGTGTCCAGTGTGAAGCCCCTCAAAGCCATCCCCTGCAGCAGCTCCGCCCCTCCCCTGCCTCCCAAGCCCAAGGTCACCGCCACAGCCACCGCCACAGCCACCGCCACCGCCGTGAAGTCCCCTGAGGCCGCCGACCCCGTGGAACCTGCCTGTGGCGTGAGCCGCAGGCCATCGCTGCAGCGCTCCAAGTCAGACTTGAGTGACAGGTATTTCCGAGTGGACGCCGACGTGGAGAGGTTCTTCAACTACTGCGGACTGGACCCCGAGGAGCTCGAGAACCTGGGCATGGAGAACTTTGCAAGGGCTAATTCTGACATCATATCCCTGAACTTCCGCAGCGCAAGCATGATCAGCTCAGACTGCGAACAGTCTCAGGACAGTAACAGTGACCTTAGAAATGACGACAGTGCCAATGATCGGGTGCCCTATGGCATCTCCGCCATCGAAAGGAATGCTAGAATCATCAAGTGGTTATATAGCATCAAACAAGCGAGAGAGTCGCAGAAGGTCTCGCACGTGTAAGAGACAGCGTGGAAAGGAGGGAGGGAGGGGCTGTCTGTGCATACCCAGTCGTGAAGGTCGTGAGGTCTACCTTGCAGTGTTGTGAGCTTCTCCGCTCTTTGTGTTGCTTGTTGTGCAATGTTTCCAAGTTGCATGCCTGTCAACATGGGGACTGGCCTGGCTTCCTCGCCACCACCGCTGCAGAGCCTGGCTGAACGCACGTCACATCTGCCAAAGGTTTCAGGCCAGCATCTGATTAGGGCTTTGCTCTTAAGCAAAACTGTTTACACGGAAACAGTATACGATTCCTTCAATATTTATGTGGTTCTTGTGTTTTTCTATCCCACGCTCTTGTGTCTTAATTAAAAGTTTTATCAACTGGCTTTTAAGTTGACAGCAGAATCTTTTGGAAATTAAAAAGCCACTTTGCCTACAATGGGAGGCCGTAACAATGGGGAAAAATCTGTCAAAGAGGTCTTCTACCAAATGGATAGTGACTGAGCAACATAGAGCCAGGCTGGGTTTTCTGTGGAATAAAGTGGTAACCCCTGATGTTCATGGTTTACACGTGGAATTTCTCTTGCCACTTAGTGAAGCAGTCTTTTGGGGCAGCAGTGCTATGTTTTGTGTCTGATTTAGTGTGGAAACGGTGGTGTTTCTGTGTAATACTGACCCAGAAGAAAGACAATCAGGTTCAGTGATAAGGGATGAAATCTAGCAAGTTGGGTGATGGGGGGTGGGGTGGGTTTTGTCTTGGTGTTCTGATTTGGGGCAATTCAGCAGCTTCTAGTATTAAGGTTTTGACAGGCATGGCCACCCTGAAACTGATACTGAATGCCTTTACATTTTTTTATTTTTCTTTTGGTCAAGAACTACTAATTTCATTCTATTTCTCTTCCTCTCTCCCCTCCTTGTTGTTTTATCTGGGAGAGAGGGGTGGGGCTGGCTCGGGTTTGAGCTGTGTGAAGACGTGAACAGAAACGGAAATAGCAGCCATATCAGTATAGAGCCTCCCGTTCAGAAGCGAATACCTTTGGTAGCTGAACCCTATCTGAGCAGTGCCAGTCTGTCTAGCATATGTTACTCTCTGGGGCTGTGGATGTCTGTTACACCTCTAGGAAACTGTAGAAACATGACACTACGTAGCTTTTCCACCCTGTGGTCTCCAGTCATACCTATCAACTTGTCCCCTTTGTTCCCCAACCACCTGCCCTCCAGGTGGGTTAGTTGGCTGTCAACCAGCTGACTGCGTGGTATGGTAGCAGACAGGTAACTGTGCAGGGGTCCACTCCATTGCTCTCATTGTCAAGCTCTGAAATTCTCAGCAGCACTACCTTAGATTCCATCAGCTAATAGGAAACTTTTTATGGTGTAAATTCTGTAAGACTTTGTACATACTTCAGTTGTTATGAAATCTTTAAGAAAAAAAAAAGTTATGCTAATAAATAGCTCTGGTGCAGGCACTAATGGTGGTGGTTTCTCCTTGTCCTTGTCCTTTTCTCGCTCCCTGAAAGTTTCACTTGGGACCGTGGGCCACCAGTGGATTTGTGATACCCTTGAAGAAGCATTATTTCGTTAAGTTGCTTTCACCGTATCTCAGTGGTTCTGAACAGCAGTGTTCACAACTGTAGCTGTAGCAGGGTGTTTCGGCTCACAGATGACATCAGCGTTCCTGAAATACTCTGTCGCCTCTTCACTTCGTTCACACTGCTGTTATTTTTGGCTTTTCTTAAACATCAGGACTTTTCACATCTTCCAAAGGACTCTTCAGTTGTAAATATGTATGAGTTCTTACCGTGGGTGTATGTTTGGAATGTATGGCCTTGTTTTTATTTGTGCAAGCCCAACATCAGTACCCTACAGGTGTCCATCTGTTCATCCACTTGCTCACCCATTCCTCTGTCAACATGTCCTCTGCAAAGTGACTCTGTTTCTCAGGCATCAAGATAGGTGCTGGGCTGCCAGGGTCCACCACAAAGTCTGTTTCTCAAAGGGCTTACGTATTTCCACACTTCGTTTAAGAGAAAGATCAAGTGGACATGTCTTATCTTCTCTTATGCAGACATGGAGTATTTAATGAATACCTATGGAATCCGGCTATTCGAAGATTAACATTTCTTCCAAGGTTCTACAAAATCTGCACATGTAAAAAGGAGCATTACTTAAAAAGCAGGTTTTTAGAAACAAATGATAGGATTCTCAGACTATTCATTTGTAGACATTTTTCTTCTGAAAAGTACATTTAGTTTCAGGACACTTTCTACTGGTTTTAAATTGCTCCTGGTTTGCTCATTGATGTTCATTCAAACCCTAGTTTCTGGAAGAAACATTCAGGAATGCAGCTATGACTGGTGATGATACAATACCTTCAAGATAATAGAATAAAATTGTTGCTTAAAAATTTTTTCTCCCTTCACCATTTGTGTAGAATTGCAGGATTTTAAAACATATGGCTTAGTATCTGCATACACATTATTTTCTGGGACTATTGAAATACTCAGAGTAGATGATACTTTCCTAAGGAAACCTTTTTGGGGGGAGATGAAAACTTCCTAGGTAATTTAATATCCCTGCTTGTGCTATTTTAGTCATAGAATGTGTTTAAATCCTCCAGTATTTCAATACTTTTATCTGTATTCAGACACAATGATAAAGCATCCCACTATAATTCAGTCTATTCCTCCACGGCCTTGTTTGTACAATGGACAAATATGAAGCTTTTGGTTTCTATGGAAGGAGAGAGCTCATTATTTTTCTTTTGTTCTTGAATTAAGAGTTTCTGTAAGGGACCATTTCAACTGCTTAATATTAAATCCAAAGAGAAATCATAAGAGTGAGAAATTTCCTTGGTGTGAAGCTGTCTTTGCCTAGCCCATGGAAGTGTGTTCCTGCATGTGTGTGTGTGTGTGTGTATGATTTTAATGTTGGTATAAATACCGTGTAATCATATAGCTCACACTTTCTTCCCTAAGCAATACAGAGTAAAATATGATTGCACCAAGTGGTCTTATAAACTGTCTCCTGAAAACCACTAAATCCTAAGGCAGTCCTACCATATCCATATCTTCTGCTATTTCCTAAGGTCATGTTTTACTGTTTTTTACTTGGGTTGTCATTTCTAGAACTTTCCAGCTGGAAGTCACACAGACCTCTCCCCAAACCATCTCTTCCCCATTCCATTTCATGCAAAATACAATATAATCAACTCCAATCATGTAACTCCTCACTGTAAACACTTCGGCTAGAATACGTTGCTGGTGGAATAAGGGTTAATAACTTCTTTTTTAATTTTTTTTTTATTTTTGACAGGCAGAGTGGATAGTGAGAGAGAGAGAGAGACAGAGAGAAAGGTCTTCTTTTACCGTTGGTTTACCCTCCAATGGCCGCTGTGGCCGGCGCACTTCGGCCGGCGCACCTCACTGACCCAAAGCCAGGAGCCAGGTGCTTCTCCTGGTCTCCCATGCAGGTGCAGGGCCCAACGACTTGTGCCATCCTCCACGGCACTCCCAGGCCACAGCAGAGAGCTGGACTGGAAGAGGGGCAACCGGGACAGAATCCGGTGCCCCAACTGGGACTAGAACCCCGTGTGCTGGCACTTCAGGCGGAGGATAAGCCTATTGAGCTGTGGTGCCAGCCAATAACTTCTTAATAGAACAGAGAACATTGGGCATCTACCTCTCTAACCTCAGTCATCTGTGCCAAGCCCCCAGGTTCCAAGCAAAGGGAAATTTCTATTGGGAACTTTTCCCCCATAGCACTTGTGATAGGTTGTATAACAAAATACTCCTGAATTTAGGAACTTATCTCAGTTTCTGTCGATCAGGAATCCTGAAGTAGCTTAAACAAGTGGTTCTGTCTCAGGGTGTGTCATGAGACTGGCAACAAAAAGCTGGTTGGGGTTGGCTGTGTCAGCTGACGGCTTGACTGCAGCTGGAGGACCCACTTTGAAGAGGCTCACAAGGTGTCAGGGAGAGGCCTCAGTTTTTTTACAACATGGGCCTCTACCGTGGATTGTCTGCAAGTCCATAGAATTCAGCATCTGGCTTCTCCCAGAGGGCCAGAGAAAAGGGCAAGGCTGAAGCACAGTATCCTTGATGAGCCAACATCCCAAGTCACACATCTCTGCTACATGCAAGTAGCTTGTCATTTTTGCCATGGTCATGGATGCAGCCTTTGCTAGCCTAAATGGTGCTTTTGTATGCATTTTTCAAAAGGACAGTCTCCTCAAAGCATTTTATTTCCTGCCTGGCATAATAGCAGAGCCAATAAACCTGCAAATCTCCAATGAATACAATGTGAACCATGGCCAGAATTTGGCACCATACAACACAGCAGGTCAGAGTATGTAATAGATGCTTAATAGATGTCCACCTATGATGTTTAAAGCCTGTGCTAAATTATACCTCTTAAAAAAATAAACCCAAAGTGGTCATTCTTAACTCCATTTTCATGGGGTACCCTCATTCCATGGAGATTAAGGAAATAGGATCCCAGAGGAGGTAAGTGGCTTGATGAGATTTGAACTCAATTGTGCAGCTACAGTGCTGCCCTTCCGTAGCTCCGTTCAAGACACCAGGAGGCTGACTGATTGTGTTGTGCTGAAAAACAGAAGAGTCCTTAAATTCATCGTGGTCATGTTATCTGCTGCCAGTGTATATAAACTTGTCTCACAGTGTCAGAACTTCAGCAGTTTCACTCTTACCTAATGGTAACCCACCAACTTGGAAAAAGACTTCAGCTGTTCCAGGATGGGTAGCACTGAGTTCACAGAGGCAAGGCTGCTTGAATTGTCTTCTCCCCAGTTTGAGTGTGCCATATTTTAAAGTTGCATCTTGGCCTTTTTGGTTCAAGAACTTTTCGAAGAACAAACAGTAGAGAGAAACATCTGGCCACAATTCAACAATCAAGAAACGCATTCTGACTCTCTGGTGAATCAGCAGCACCATGTCCTCCCACCCTTGAGGGTGTGCATGCTGTGTTCTGACCAGAAGATGGATATACTGGGGAAGGCACAGAGAGGACAAGGGGGCCCCATTTGGACTGAATAGATCATTAGTCAGAAAAGAGAACGGATCTCACCACTGCTTTGAAAATGTTAAACTTGACTCGTCACCTAGTTCTCTGCAAAATTAATGAGATGTCTGTTGATTTCTTTATGCCATCCAAGGACGAGCTGCATTGTGAAGAACTCCAGGCTCCATGGCTGCATATACGCCACTGCACATGTCACCTTCATGAGGGTTTTTCTCCTGTGTTCAGGTCACATACCCTTGAGAGCCAGAGGGAGATGAACTTTGGCTTTTGTAATGCCTTCATTCAAGAAGGAGATCCACCTGCGGAGAAGTTTACCTGCATTTTCTCACCTATGAAATAGGATGGGCATCTGATGTTTGCATTCGCTTGGTCTCAGGGCACTCAGTACTGTTCTTGGAGCATTAGGATGAGCTGTGAAGAATATGAAAACTCAGACTCTTGAGTGCATTGCTACTGTTGTGGGCAAGTAAGAAGGCAGATGCCAGATAACTGAATGGCATTTTATGCAATAACTGTCGCAGAGAGTTTTAGCTGGGGAAGAACATGAAGTCTGTAAAGTCAAGGATTGTCCTCTGAATGAAAGGCGTTCCCAGAAGGTAGAGCATTCCTACCTCTCGAGGTTTGCAGAAGCCAACAGAATTGAATGTGCACACCAGTACAAAGGTACACACCGATGTACAAAGCTGCAGGGATAAAAATGATGTAGCCTTTTACTAGTCACACATTCCCTTCATTCCACATTCATGGAGCAGCTCAGTATGTCTTGGATGCTGTGCTAGGCCTTTGTCACATCACCTCACTTGATTCTCCCAAGAATTTAGAATTTAGTAAATGAAAATGCATCTTATGACATCTGAGATTGAGCTACTTTGCAAAGGCACATATTCAATAAGGGCAGAAAATGAAACAAACCCACGTTAATAAAACGTTCTGACTCATTCTATATGTGTGAGAGTGAATTTTCAACACTTAGTGGGGTGGGAGTCACTTTCGCTCCTTTGCAGTAAGATTGCATTGCAAAACACGCTCAGAAGCTAAATCACTATTGTAATACCAGTTTGGGAACTTTCTACCCATTGCGTGACTCGAAGCTACTCATCATATTTGATCATATCAACACTGAAGATTCTGAATCTTCTGAGGGGACAGAAGATGGCCTCTCTCCATCTTACTGCTTGTGGGAAAAAACAAATCCAGAGAAATCAGGTGGTAGGACCAGGGCTTTAGAGCAGGTGGAGTGCCAGGTGGGGCTGGAACAGATGCACAAAGAAGCCACTATCAGGGAGCAGTAGAAGTGGAAGCAACTTGATTACAGATGATACCCAACTTCCAAGGGTTTAACTTAATGATTCTTTGACTTTAGCACAATGTGAAAGCCATATGCATTCAGTACAAGTGGTACTTTGAATTGTGAATTTGTACCTTATCC